CTGCTTCTCCCTCTGACCCTCCCCCCTCTCATGCTCTATCTCATTCTCTCAAATAAATAAATAAAATCTTTAAAAAAAAAAAGTGCTTTTTAAAAATTTTTTAAGTTTATTTATTTAAATAATCTCTACACCAATGTGAGGCACGAACTCACGACCCTGAGATCAAGAGTCGTAGGCTCTACTGATTGAGCCAGCCAAGACCCCCTTAAAAAAAAAAAAAAAAAAAGCCTTAATGAAAAATAATCTTGGTTTCTTTCCACTCCACCTTCAAACCAATATTTGTAAAATGCCCAAACGTAAGCTCTAGGAAAGCAGAAAGGAGTAGCATCATTCATATTGTGTCCTACATGAATGCTGCTTCCTGACAGTGTGAAAGGAGATCTCCTGCAACATGGTGACACTAAAAGAGCAAAAGTTCTCAAACTAAAAAAGCATGGCTTTGGATAGAGGCAGCAGTAATTACGCAGCTAAGTAATTAGGTAGCTTAAGGCACACCACTATTTATTATTGTTACACGGGGAGGCCAAAGTATTGTGGTTACTGCTCAAAGTACTGTAGTTAAATGAGAAAACAGCTCAACTTACAAAGAACTTATTTTAGAGAAGAGGTGCAATATTTTGGTAAGATGTACAGTCAGCTGACATGAGTCAAGAGGCCAATCACAAAGACAATGACGGTGTCTAACATTTGAAATACTCCGTCTACAAAACACTCACACATACACTTGCTCAAATGCTGCAGTCATAGTCCACTAGAAGATAAGAAGGAATTTCTAAGACACTGCAACTGAAATATAATTTTACATTGTACACACTATCAATGAAATAATCTAAAAACACCGAATTTTTATAATGGAATTTAATATAAAATAATGCACTGTTATTTCTTCTCCTTGTAGTACTTTTCTGGAAAATATCAACTCCTAACACATATTCCTAGTCCTGTAGTACATCCTTAATTCTGATTCTTTTTCCACCAACTTTCTGGCCTGCCATAATTCTTCCATCCTCTCTGAGACCTTAACCCTCAGTGTCAACTCTCCAGTGTTCAATAATCAGCTTATGATCACTCTTGTAATTATTAAAAGATAAACTAATGAGAATGACCTGCATATCTATATATATACCTAAGTAAAAGATTAAGGAGTCAAAGCCCATGTAGGTTAGAACACCATGTAGGTGTTCTATTAACACCACTAAAAGACTGTTAAAAGTTTTTAGGGCCTTAGACCCACTAAGAAAGGAAATGAAAAGACAAGAACTGAATAAGCAACTCTCAAGGAGGCACGAGCTAGCATCAAAATTTTGGAAGAGGAATATTTGATGAACAAGTAGAAACGAGATGACTTTGTTAATTTCCCACAGGTACTTTATTCTATTAAGGAACAAGTT